CATAAATTAAATTATAAAAATTTTGAATTAAAAAATTACACATAAAATGAGGAATTTCAAATAGTTAATTTGATACTAATATCGATATATTTTTGTCAATTTTTTATGATATCTTCAAACATATATTTTATTTAAAAATAAAAACATCATCGCTTTCTCAAAATCACATAAAGTCATATTATAACATCGACTAAGATAAAGAATAAAATGAAATATTAAAATAACGTTGTATCTCGCTTCATTGCGCGAGTACGCTTCTAGTGTATATATATATAGTACGTTTCAAATACAACTCATCACATTTGTACAACCAATGTAACTCAATCAATTGATATATTTATGAAAATAATGAGAGTTCATTTATTATGATTTAAATATTTATAGAAGATAACTAAAATTCATTAATTCTAATCAATACTTTATATTATAAAACAATCAAAAATTTTATGAAATCACATTTTCATCAAATTAAATGAACGGTTGAGATTGAGTTGTATAACTTCCCACTCAAGATCTAGAGTCCAAATCTTGATTTATAGAGTTTTGGTTGAAACTGTTAGGTTTTTTTTACAAAGTCTAGTAAGGTGAGTTCATACTGCTTCTACATCACTGTATACATGCTAAATCTTTATATCTTACATATTTGCAAACTCTAGTTATGATTAGTTCAACAAGAGAGTTCAATTCACATGGTGACCTTAGGGATTCTTGACCTAGATGCACGGCAAAATGAATTATTATCGATAAAACTTATTGGTTCTGGAGGTTTTGTTTCATCAAATCAATTAGGGTTTCCATCCTTTCGATGTTTTGATCCCAAATGTAGGTTTATTCACTAAAGCACCCAAAAATCAAACAGAACATGATGATGACTTGCGGAGCACGCCATGTGTAAGAATTTATGTGGGAAAAGAACATGATGTGAGTTGGTGAAGACGGACTTCACGATTCGCGTTCGTTCGATTTGGCCAATGCATGGTTCCGGCAATTTATGGCATGAGAACGATTTTTTCAACTTCTTTCGGGTGTAAAACTTCTTATTAACATTGCTGATGACTTGCGGAAAATTTCATGGCAATCTGGTGGAGTCGTTTCACACGAGAAAAATCAAACAGTATACCCTTCATTAATTTTCATGGAAATTTGGTTTCTAAACCATATGTTATTTGAGTAAATTTTGAAAATTGTGATTATGGGTTTTAAAACAACTTCATTAAATCATCTACGATTGAGGTTCTTATTGAGTTTTTTATTGAGGTTTTATAAAGAGATTTTTATCGATCATAGATTCCAATAATAACTCATATGTTTGAACAAGAATCCGAGTTCTTGTTTTTATTCTTTTTTAACCATTGTATTTTGTTTTAATAAATCTATAAAACATATTATAAAAAAAAATATAAATTAGTTATTGTAAAATATATATATACTAATTTTGGTTTATTTTTTCCTACGTTTTATAATATCCTCAAATTTTGATGAGTGTTGCATAATCTTTAATTTTTAATCCTCATCCTTAATATCAACAAATTAAATTTAATATAGAAAAGTGAAAGCTAATTGATTATATTTCAATCTTTTTAACAATTTTATGATATATATATATATATATATATATATCTATACTATATTATAAAGCATTTGACAAAAACTCTTAAAAACTCTCTACTCTAATTTTCACTTTTTTTCCACCGATAAACATCCTTGATCCACCAAATTCCAACCAGATCGACCAATTACCTTCGTTTCCTAACTTGTATTGCTCTTTGACGTCCTCCTTTATCATCAATCAATTTGGTTTGCTCTTGAAACGATTTTGACTTTTGTACGAGCGAGTCGACTAATTTTTTACTTGTACTCTGAGGTTGGAAATTGGGAATTGAAGAGAGTGTTTGATTTGGTTAGGTTTGAATTCGACTACTTTTTTAAGGGTGTTTTTTCTTCCTGTAACTGTTACTGAATCTCTTGATTTTTAAAGTATTTAGGGTTCGTGAGGTTTATATATTAAATTGGAGGTGATTTCATGGGAATTAGGTTGATTTATGTTTGAGTTATTGGACTCCATAATATCGCATTTGAAGATGGAATTAAGTACAAAATGTTAGGTTTTACATACAATTGTTCTTTTTGGTCATTTTACATATATAAATAAAATTTGTCAAACACTAAAAAATAACTTATCACCTTATTGTTTTTTTGGTACCGTTGTAAGCTAATCCAAATACTTTTTACAAAACTTCAGTTTGATACCACATAAGTTAATAAACACTTTTACAAAAAACGCATGAGTTGTTTTAAATAGCAATCCAAACACCCCTTAAAATTTAAGATTACAAGTAAATTGTGCATAAGTACAACTTATTAAAGTTCCATACTTGAATTCGTCTAATTAACTGCAGATAAACATAATCAAATATTGGATAAACATCTCATTTTAAATATAAAAAATCTAAAATATAATTAGAATAATCATTGATAACTAACAGAATAGTTAGTTATTATCATTATAAAAAAATATATATTATAACCTAAATTAAATTTCTTTGTTACTAAAACTAAACTAAATTATAATTTAAAAAAATTAATTAAGAACATTACACCAAAACACAAGAACTTTTAAAAATATTAATTTAATACCGATATCGATATTTTTTTTCAAAATATATGATATTTTTAAATTTATATTTTATTCAAAAATAAAAACATTATCACTTTCTCAAAACCACATAAAACCAATGTTTGCTTAAAATTTAAGATTACAAGTAAATTATGCAAAAGTACAACTTATTAAAGCTCGATGTTTGAATTCGTAAATTACGGATAAACATAATCAAATAGAGGATAAATATCTTATTTTAAAATATAAAAAATCGAAAATATAATTAGGATAATTATCGAGTTCTAACAAAATAATTAATTATTATCTTTATAAGAAAATTATATTATTAAACCAAATATAAATTATTTCGTTATTGTATCTAAGTTAAATTTTAAAAAATGAATTAAAAAATTACACAAAAAATGAGAAATTTTAAATAGTTAATTTGATATGAATATCAATATATGTGTGTTATGCATAAAGTACTGTATATTAATGCATATTACTTAAAATGCAATATTACAAGTAAATTATGCATAAGTATAACTTATTAAAACTCGATGTTTGAATTCATATAACTAACTGCGGATAAACATAATCAAATAAATGATAAAATCTCACTTTAAAACCATAAAACCTAAACCCTTTAAACCTTTGTCTATTACATGTCACTACAACAAAAACAAGTTTATAGGACACTTTTCAAGACCCGTCCTTTAAAAARGGCTAATACGACACATTATTTTATGAGTCTTATTTGATTTAATTTAATAGAACTCTTATTTTTGATGTCTTATTAAGCTCTCTTAGTGTTCTATCATGTAGTTTAATACGACACTTTTCAATGTCACATTATTTTAGAGTCTAATAGGACACTTTTTAAATGTTGTATTATTTAAAAGACTAATAGGATATTTTAAAATGTTATATTATTTTAGAAGTTAATAGAACATTTTTAAGTGTCATGTTAATTTTAAAAGTTAATAACACATTTTTAATTATTGTATTAATGTTTAAAAGCTAATAAAACACTTTATTAAAATTTAAAATAATATAAATACCATATTATATTTAAAACCATTTCTAAATTTTAACATCAAATCTAGCACCATCACTCGATTCGTCCTCCCTGTCGCCTCGCTCACGGACGAACTCACGAACAGAAACCAATTCACGATTCACGAATCGAGATAGAAATCGCAATCGGCCTTGACTCAATCGGCTCTCGCTCTCTGCCTCTCTCGGGTCTCGACTATCGACCGGCTCTCGGTCTCTCGCTCTCGCTCTCGCATCTTGTGGCTTGTGAGGTTAGGGTTATTTAGTTTACTTATTTCATTTCTTATGTTTCTAATTCTTGTTTGACTGCAAAACCTAAGTATGAAGCTGTGAAATTGATCCTTTGTGGTTTGTCATTTGTGTTTCTAGTACTGTTACTGTATCACTGATTCACTGTATGTCTGTATGTATAATGTTTATGTATCATGTATGCCTAAATCCAAATTGAGATCCATGCCTTTTGCTGCCAATCTACCATTTGTTAATTGAAGTCCAAATTTCTTTACCTAACATCTGTTAACAACCCCCTAGGACAGCTTAAACAACCTCTAAATGTGGCCCAAAACAGTCTCGAAACAACATCCAAATAGTCCCTATTGCTGCTGATTTTTTAGACACAAATCGGCCTCTTTAGCTGCTAATTTTTAGCCACAAAACAACCCCTAGCTGCTGATTTTTAGCCAAAAAAAACAACCCCTTTAGCTGCTGATTTTTACCCCAAAAAGTCAGTCGAGTGGGTGTATTGAACCTGCTTGGACCTTAATCTGTTGCTGAATGCATTACTACTTAATACTCGTTGAATCTCTGCAATAGTTAATTTGTGTCCATCTTATGTATATAATGTACTTATACTAACAATTGCAACATCTATTTTGTTATGGTTATTTTTTTCCATTGTTCCATTTACCATGGGAGGTTCTAGCTTCACCACTATTTTTGGCYATYMTGTTTTAACTTTAGCACTTATGAGAACCAATTACTGAACCTTGTATTGGATGAAGGTCATGAAGCTGTAGAGTTCCTTTTCATGTTAAGTATGGACTTGTAATAGTACAGTTTGTGTGCATGTTTATGGTTCAAAACATTCAAGATTCTCAAGTCATATGGTGCTATAGCCAAAGTAGCCTACGAGTAGTGCCCTATCCCACAACTGCACTAGTTGGGGGAGGAGTCAGATACCATTACAAAAAAGAAAAAGTAAGTGTGGTCCGCTTCTGATTTTGGGAATTTAAAGGGTACTTCTGAAATCGACCTTGACATACAAGTTTTTCATAATTTACTTCTGAACATGTATTAGTCATTTCCTGTCTTTTGGGACCAAAACAACTTTAAACATTGTTTTTGATCAATTTTAGAGTAAATAAAAGCAAGACAGTTGAAATCAAATGTGGACTTGGTTCGTGCATTGAAGTTCCTGTTTTAGTTTCCTAGTTTTTCAGTTCCTGTTCATACATAAGGAATTGGTTCCTCAACTACGAAGAATCTTGTGCTATTTTGCCTGGACARCTAATCAGAATTTGATAAGGTAAAGTTTCATTCAATTTATTTAATTTGGCTATAGTGACAGTGGCTATATGATTTCAATTAATCAAGACATCACTGTTAAATTATTAAACAAGTTCTTTTACCTGATCACAGTGGCTATATGATTCAATAATCAAGACATCACTGTTAAACTTTCCGGATATTTAACATTTTCCAAACTCCTATCAGACAGAAAGTGTTCCAAGTCGGAGAAAAATGGTGGTAGACGATGTTCCGATGGATGATAAGGTAAAGAGAACGAGAGACCTGCTATCGAGTTTCTATTCACAGGATGCTTCTCATACTTCTGCTCCCGTCAACACTACATCAAGATTCGCCACTCTCGACACTATCAATACGACTTCCTTCGATGCCGATCAGTACATGAATCTTCTTGTACGCCCTCTGATCTCAGATCCCTAAAAGATCTCATACCCTGTTCTTTTAGCGCTTCATGTTGCATCACTCACCTAGGTTATATAAATTACGGTGTTATCTTAATACTCATCCGTTCCTAACAAAATTTTGAATTCAGACCCAATTCTCTAGATCTATGCAATATAAAAATATCATGGACTATGTACTAAGTTAAGACTCCCGATATGCGTGGTACCTATCATTTAGTTTATTTAGTCATTAATAAATTGCTGCAATGCTTTAGAGCTTATCGTTTAATTACCCCATTTCATGTCAAAGGTAAATTGTAGCTCTCTTTGCCACTCTGAGGGAACATAAGGAGTATCGAATGTATATATAGATGATCATGCTACACAAAACATGTGTAGAAATGTGCTATTGTTTGAGTCTTAGAGCTAAGCACAATCATTATTGATTGGAAGCCTAAAACTGATATTACCAAATCACCTTAATATAAATCCAAACAGCTAAGTTGAGACCATTCTTTGACATACATATTATTGGACAATAACACTTTCAACTTCCAAGTGCAAAAGGGTGGTTAATAAGAGAATCATTGACGTATGTGGAGGACCGAGACTAGTGTGTTATTCTGTAGAAGAGTTGTAGAGCTATCAGAAAGCATGGGATGCTAGGGATCCAGTGCCTCATTGACCTTGAAACACAGGCATTCACTTATACATGTACAGTGGTTATGTGTATGCACGCACACACACACACACAAGTAAGAGACTATGGCTTTACTTAAAGCATTATTGGTCCACAGATACCTTAGTAATGCACTCTGTGTAGTTACACTTAACATAGGGCAGTGGTATCCCATGGTAAGTCGTGATGGTTTCAGTATAAAAATAACACCATAAAACAATCATGTGATAATATAAAAACTCGACAATTTTGCATAACGATTTACATGATTTAAGGTTTTCTAAAGTGCCCGTGGTTCCCTATGGTGTTATGAGATTTCCAATCCACACTATGTATTTTTCTTTAAGATGTCAAAATTGATACATATATACATATATGTACACACACTTACATATATATATATATATATATATATATATATGACTAGCTTAAGCATATGATATAGACCATGCAAAAAGGTGCTTTCTATGTATAAGTTGTCTTAAAGATGAATATAATTGTGCAAAAAAGGTCCACTACCAATATTAGCTCTTATGTCTGGCGACTTGTCTCAAATGTGTAAATTCTGCACTTCTGAGACCCACAAACATCTAGCAAGCCTCCATTACATAAAAGCCAAACCAAATGTACCCAGTAGATCCCACTCGGAGGTATGGTCGGAGGAGGGTAGGATGTAAGCAACTTTTTCCTCTACCTCAAGGGGTAGAGAGATTGTTTCCATGAAGGCATCATTAAGAGGCTTTACATGAACTCCAGAAAGTTTCCCTGTTTAAAGTCAGGTAAAAATGTACTCGCTGGAGGCAAGCATCATCATGATATCCTTTTTTGATATCTTTGGAGATTCATATCTAATAATACATGGAGTCAGTTGATTTGAGGACTCTGTGGGTCTAAGGCACTTTGAATGATGAGGAGTGATAAGGAAATCACTTTGATTTTTATTTTGCAGCCCCGTGCCTATCAAGTGGTCTTATTTGGCTCATCTGGGTCTCAGCTCTGAGCATCTTTAGTGTTTTAATCTCGAAACTTCAGAAGAGAAGTTACTTCACTTTTCTTGCAACTTCAGTTCTGAAGGTTCTCTTGTCTTTTAATGAATAAATCTGGTTGTCTGACAAGAAGACTATGTTAAACACCGAATCATCCTTCCAAGCAAACACTTCTGATCTTCTGATACAAGTTTGAGGACGTTTCTTCACCTAATGTATCAGGTACAAAAGTCAAATCTGGAGGGCCTCCTTCAGAGGCATGTTGAGATGGCTGCTGAGATCAAGAATCTGGACACTGACTTGCAAATGTTAGTATACGAAAACTATAACAAGTTTATCAGTGCTACAGATACAATTAAAAGGTAAGGCATTGTCTCTTAGTAACTAACTCTGATTTTCTTTCCACCTGCTTTAGCAGTTCCCTGCGCAATAACATTAATTTTTTTTACGGGAAAAGGAGACGGAACCCAGGAAAAAATTATTCAATAAAAAAACGGAAAGTACAATCTAGAGGGCATGCCCCAAGAAAGAAACATTGTCTCCCAATAAAATGTTTCGGGAAGACATATAATAACGGTCTAACTCTAAAACCTAACTTAGAGTTAAAAACCCAAGAGCTGAAATTACCCAACAAGCAAAAAACCCCAAAATTATGAAAACCCAAGAAAAGGCTCAAAACAATATGGGAAATAAACCACTTTCTATGGCCCAAAAGAATGCTCCTATTAGCCCAATCACCAAGAAAAGTAGCATCCTTTTTCTGGCCCGAATAATCCTTAGTGGCCGCTTATGTTGGTCTTTGAAATCCTTTGTTCGCTATGAGCTGCTAATGATGGGTTCTCTTGATGGCATTTGGTATAATTTTTTTAATCTCTCATATAAGATACATGTATGACATGTATTAATGTATTTTTTGTACCAGAATGAAGAATAATATTGTCGGTATGGAAGTAAATATGGAACAACTCCTTGAAAAGGTACATAAGGAACATGTTTTTTAGTTTTTGTTTATTTATGTTGTGGACATTGTTAATAAGGAAATTGGAAGAAGGTGAGAAGGAAGTTTTAAAATTTACCTTTCACCATCATTCCTTTTGTCAGATAATGTCAGTGCAGTCACGAAGTGATGGGGTCAACACCTCGCTTTTTGAAAAGAGAGAGCATATAGAGAAATTACATCGCACCCGTAATCTATTGCGCAAAGTTCAGGTATCGAGATGAACCTCCAAACTTCTCCTGATGAGCCCTGGTTGTTTTCCATTGGGTGGCATATAGCCTGTTCTACATGCATACTCAACATTTTACTTGTCAAGATGTAGATCTATTGTTAATTGTTCACTATTGTCTGTTGATGTACACCCTGCTTTGCATGGAACATGGGTGTTTAATTGATAGAAGTTTCATCTTTGTAAAACAGAATCATTCCATTTTTGTTGTGCTACTATATGGCTTTGATCTTATGTCAAGTTCTATACATTATGCGAATTATGGTCTTTGGCCATGTGTGAGTTACACAGATTTCATCTTGTGTTGACCAGTTTATATATGATCTCCCTACTACACTTGGAAAATGTATAAAATCTGAAGCATATGGTGATGCAGTGAGGTTCTACACTGGAGCTATGCCGATATTTAAGGTTAATTTACTGGCCATATGATTATTACATCAACTTTTATTTGTTATATCAGACTCATGAGATGTCACTTTTGCTTTATCAATGACATTCATTTTTTTGCTCCTTATCTTGAACTTCACTAGGCTTATGGGGATTCCTCATTCCAGGATTGTAAGAAAGCATCTGAAGAAGTAATGTCAGTTATTATTAACAAGCTCCAGGTACATTATTTGTTAATTTAGTTTTTCTGAGGAAGTACCAAAGAGAGATCTACATCAATGGCATGTACCAACAGAGTTGGCCAAAATACGATTTTGTGAAAAAACGCCATTTATGCTCCGGAATCCTAGGGGGACACCTCTTTATCTTTGTTTTGGAATGCACCCTTGTATGATTTTCTTCTGTTTTAGTTTTAGCCTACCCAACTAGTTTGAGATAAAAGGCTTGATATTGCGTGCTACTTCCACCTTTTGACTATAAGCACTACATGCTACTTAAGTATGCTCCTACATTTGATGCATGATTGGAAGTATTGATTGTTTTCTTAGGAAATACTGTAACTGGAAGAAGATAAAGTTTTTTCAGATTCAAGGTTGTAGGATCTTTAAGTGACCGTGCAGGGGCATATGAACTACAATGCTTTTCAGTGAACTTACTATTGTTGATGATGTTTTAGTAGTGTCTGTTGGTACATATGTCATCTAATAGTAGCATAAAAAGGGGAAACAAAAAAGATTTCATATTGTGCAAGTTTTCTTTCAGGACAAGGTTTCTTCTGACTCTGAATCAATACAAGCAAGAGCAGAGGCTGTAATGCTTCTTAAGCAATTGGATTTTCCGGTTTGTAACTCTGATTTTCGCAACCATTTACTTCATGAGCTTTGTCCTGCAATATTTTTGACCGTTTATCATGTGGATGTGGTATGAATGATGGATTTTAACTTATACGTTCAATAGAAACTCATGAGTCATGATGTGCATATATGCATCCAATCATTAGCTGAAACATGCAATGCATGACAAGGAGACATGGAAAGCAACACAGCCAGAAGTTGCATTCATGTGCATTCCTAGTGTAACATGTCCTCTGTTATGTATGATTAAAATAGTTCCATAGTAAACCAAACCACTATCCCAGCATATCCCACACAGAGATGGCCGCTCAAGGGGTAGGGGTGGGGGTTGAGATGTATGCAAACTTTACCACTAAGGAGTAAAACAACTGTTTTCGTGATGATCTCCGACTTGTGAAAAGTGTGAGCATAAAGAAGAAGCATGCCATAAAATTTGAAGAATTAAATATTCGAAAGAAATTTTCTTCAAAAATTAGAAAGAAGAACCTAGGCTAATTTAAAGCAAACAACACCACAAAAAGAAACACCGCAAAAACATATGCTAGTACAAGGAAACAAAGCTATACAACCCACAATCTAACTTACAATACCGGTGACCTAACTGCCAACTCCCTAACCCTACCACCCCCACCTTCTGCATTGCCATCTCCTTTCCTCCTCTCTAAGCTAACTACACCTCCAAGCACTCTTATTGGAGTGCTTAGTCAGGTGCCACGTTGGTCACCTGTAATTTATTAAATTAAATAGCGTTGTTCCTTATTAAAGGATTTGAGCCCTTGGAAGTGATGCTTCATATTTTGATGTGGAATGTGGATATGCCTCATGTTGGTAATACATGCTGACTACCTATTGAATAGAAAAGCAGAAAGCCGAAGAAGAATAAATATACGATGTCACAAGATTCCTTATATGAAACATTTGATATATCTGTATTAAGAGAAGAGCACGTATATAATTACATTTGTCACCTCATATGATTGACCATCTTGCTGTATCCTGAAATAGAAAAAGCAATAATGCTTTTCAAAGGAATATAAATTACTTTTTAGAGGATTTCAAATATATTTTGAAGTTCTACAAACATGAAATCTGTAAATTATTAAGTTCTTATGCTGCTTTTGCTTTTGAATTTATATTGTTGGGGGAACAACAGATTATAAAAAACTGTGTTCTTTTTGAAAGACAAAAATGTTTACTTAATGTGGCCTGTGGATTGTAATGTATAGTCCAAGCTTTTTACGTGATGTGCAGAGAAAGTATTTTATTGACTACCTATATTGCTTCACTTTGGTAGGTTGAAAACTTGAAATCAAAGCTGCTTGAAAAGTTAGAGCAGTTCCTTGGGGAACTTGATCTCTCTAAAGAGATAAGCATCGGTTCAGCAATTCCTCATGAATCTACCAATGAAGGAAGTGAATCTGATCCCGTTACTCCTCTTCCTGAGGTAATTACATAGATGATCATCTCTTATAAGTTATAATTTCCTAGCTTTTTGTGGCATACCCCAATTGGCTTTAAATAAGGACATTGTTCCGTCAAGTTCCTGAATGTATCTAGAAAACTTGGTTGTTTAGATATAAATGAGTTGAGTCAAAGCATGGGTCATATTTCTTGGACCATTCTATTACTGTGAGAACACTACTTCAGCTTTAGCCACTTGAATCCATACAGGATACAAGAGTGATTAGTTTATTTTCAGCAATTTACGCACGACTAGTTTGTTTTCTCTGGAACAGTCTCTCCGCAGCCTTGCCAATTGATTAAAAGGTATTCTTTTAAATGCACTTCTACCACATTGTCTGTCAAGCGGGAACACTAATATTTGGAATGACAGTTGCGTGTCCAATGACCTCATGCATCTGAACATGATTATCATTTTTGCCGCTTCAACCGACTTTACTAATGGATGCACATTGGGATGGTAATAGAAAACCAGAGGAAGAACACTAAAATAGTTTTCACACATGCTTTAGAGCTTTAACTGTTTTAACATATTTCAGTTTGAGTCAAATCTAATTTCTTCATTTCATTTCGTGATCTGGAGCATTTTCAATCAGCGGCCTTCCTTTGTGTTTATCTATTATTATTATTTCTAGTTTGATCTATAAGGAAGAGCCGAGGATTGAAGTGCTGGCAGCAAAATTGTATTATAATCCCAGGGCATCCACATTAAAGTAAAAACTATTAATAGTGTGTCTATTTCCTAAATTGATTTCGTTGATATTTTTTGAGGCTTTGGAGGAACTTCACCTTTTACCGAAGCAAAGCATTCTCATTCAGTTACAGTTTGCCTCAGGTCATGGATGATGCAAGGGATTCTCATTCTTTTGTTGATTTTTGTTTTCCTCATCATGGAACACTAGTTTATGTTTTTCTTGTCATTGTCTTTTTCTTTCTTCTTATTTCTTTTCTTTTCCTTTGGGAAAGTTAATCAATTTCTCTATTCAAATTCTATTTCAGCTTGCTCTCTAAACATGTATGAAAGAGATTGAGCTTGTAAAGAATTGGTATCATTGTTGGTTATAAGCACACTGAAAATTACATTTTGATGATAGTAAGAACGAACCTTCGTCCTTTAAGGAGTTGCTTGTTAGATATTGGGAAGCTATCAAAAGTATGTAGCATATGTGAGCCAATGCACCGTTTAGACCTTTATTTCCCAAAGACTTTTGGTTTTACCTAAATCCTCTCTTTGTTCATGCACTCAACATATCTAGATGTGTATATATTGCATATATGATTTTTTGTGCCTTTTGGTTGTTAAGATACATCATCGTTTTCATTTGTCGCTTGGTCATATATATGAGCTCTTTCAGCTGTCCAATTTGTTGAATAGGTACCCACTCGTGAATTTGTGGAAGCTGTTCACGCTTATCATGTCATTTTCCCTGATTCAGAGCAGCAACTGGTCAAACTCGTGCAAGATCTAACCACAAGGTATGCATATGCATCTTGTTAGTTCTCCCAGTTAGTCCCAGTACTTCTGACCAGATTTTGGTGTTGATACCTGATTGGCGTTTGCTTTATTAGGCACTTTGAAGCTGCCAAACAACAAATACGGGAACAGATATCTTCAGCAAAGCTAGCCAACCGACTTCGTATGTAACAAGCCTACTAATATTATCATGTAGTATAGATCTTTATATCAAACAGGTGGTGGAAAACAGTCTTTGGTCTAATACTGTTATGCACTTATGTATGAGGGTCTGCACTTTTGGTCATTAGTGCTGTTTCTTGCATGGACCTTCAAGTAGAATGAGTTACCTGTTTAGTTATATACAATTGAAAGCAGTGATGAGCTTATACAGTAGTTTATTCAGCTTCTCAGGTTTTCTAGATTGGACTACAATTTTTCAGGCATTAACAAGGCATCAATACTTGTTTTCAGTATTTCCATTTACCATGTCGGATCAATTAATTGTCTTCATGGTTGTCCCCTTATTAACAGGGTTTATTTGGACTGATGTCCTCCTGATAAATGAAGTGTTACCAGAGGCTGCTCTTCAAGATTTTGCTCTTGAGGTTGTCACTCTGACACTCTTTACTCCTCTCATTAATGGTTATTTTGTCTACATCAACCTAATTTGTTTAGCTGAAAACTTACCTATCCTGTTTGAATGTTCATGGTTTCAGGCTGCTTGTGTTGCTGTCAAGCAGTATGTTGCTAGTGCATATTTTCATCTTCTTCATGAAATATCTGGTTAGTCTTTCATTTTTTTCATTGACATAAATGCCATCTAGTAGGTAAGAAGAGTTCTAAAAGCAGACCATTAAAAATATGAACAAGGATAAAAGTAGTAAGGACAAAGAGCGTAAACAAGTTTCTGTGGATGCTTGTTGGCTGGTGCATCTGAGTCTTAATGTTAGACTTTCTGATTCGACTCTGTTTGAACTGTCAGACACTCTTCTGCAAATTCAAAAGGATGGAATAGGAGAAGAGTATCCTTTGCGGGCTGCCCTGGAGGCCAGCAAAAATGCTGTGATTCAAGGCAGTACAAAAGTCCTATCGGTAAATCATGGCAGCTTGATTCCTGGTTCATTCACTTTCACTTTGATCATATAAGTAATTTTGGATCTATAGTAGTTCATCATTTGTAAATGGCAAGTCAAAACAATTACACATGAAGTTAGTGTGTACTTTCGGTGGACCCTGCACAGAAACCACTCTAGTTCTTTTTCCCAAAAAAACCACTCTAGTTGGAAGTTTGCTAAATTTGTGCTTTTCTTTTATATCATAAAAAAGCAAAATATGGGCTTAGAACGTAAATAGCTTGGCTTTCATATGAAAACCGGTCTCTCTAACAATGGACTTCTCTGTCAGATATGAGATTAATTTCGGTGATCTCTCATATAAAATGGAACTCCTGGAGACCTAAACTTTTGTCTAACCTTTTTCAGATTGAGTTACCTCATTGGTATAAGCATGTGAACTTCTTATCTATTGGTCACCAAACATCACTATTATTGCAATATAATTTTTGACGTTACTGCCATCAAATTGAGTATTGCTTAATCTTCTCAGTTTCATGTTGATTTCTTTCACTGGAGACTTTCTAACCACTGCGTAGTTGCATAATGCAGGCCTTTCAAATTCATATTTCTTTCTTGTTTCTACTTGAGCTCTTCTATAATTTTTTCTTCTATAGGATTTTTGTTGTCTTCTTGATGAAGATTTAGGGTTGATATTGAAGTTAAGAGATATGATTATTAGTTGGGTGCAAGAAGGGTTTCAAACCTTCTTCAAACAACTTAATGATCGGTTACTCTTGCTTTCTGGAAAAAATGTTCCGATGGCACATGAGCAGTTTTTGGCAGAGAGGTTACAAGCTGACAAGGTTCCTGCTGGGCTTGTTCTTGTGATATCCCAGCTATCTGTTTTCATTGAACGAGATGCCGTTTCAAGAATTACTGAGGCAAGAGCTGATGTTCTGTTTCTATCTTGCATTTATTTTCCAAGCTTGATCACATTGATCATTTCCCTCTCCATGAAATGGGAGGCATTCATTTAATTTTGCTTTTTGTAACTTCTCAGGAAATTGTCTCTTCATTATCAGCTGGCGGTGTTCAGCTCTACGAGCATGGTCCTGCTTTTGTTCCTGCTGAAGTCCGTCACACCTTTAGATCAGCTGGAGAAAAGTTCTTGCAGCATGTATGTTTTTTATATTCAAGTCTCCTAACTTGTTTGTACTGAACTGTTGTGAAATTTATTACCATGGATCCAAAGTGATGCACTCATTGGTGGGTAACTGTAGTTTCATGCTATTAGTACTATGGATGGTATACCTAGGGATGCAAGCAACACAAAAACTTCCAGTAAGGCATTTAATATCCCTGTCTAGAAGGAAAACCTTAGTAGTTGCTTGAATGCCTGCTTTAGACACTGGGAATTGAGTATCTTGTCCTTTCCAAATTCCCTTGAAAATACTCATTAAACATCTGGCTGCATTCCATTGCAAAAAGATGCTTATTAACCTATCCCTCCTTAGATAAACCAAACGCCTTCCTCCTTAGATAATGACTTGAGATGTGCAATATCTCCTTCTTGGGAACCCCACATGACCTGAAACCAGATCACCAACCTGTTACTTGCAATTTTAATGTTGCACTCCTGGTACCTTAATTTAGTAGGTTTAATCTAAATCCTATGGAGTTCTATTCAGACACTGTAGTTTTGTGTTGATGGCTAGACTAGTCTTTATCTGATTTCATAGGATGCCGAGTTCTTATGCTGGCTCACAAGTACTGTTGCAGTCCTCCTTCATCCTTGCATGGGACAATATACATATTACTACAAAATTGCCCAATGAAGATATTTGGCAATTTTGTTGGTCCTGATTTGACTTGTCCATATCTATGTATTATGTGAGATGTCAATTCCTGATATATTATATTGTTATCTGGTTTTATAAATTGATTGGAGTTCCCTTTACAGTATATCAACATGAGAACCCAAAGAATTTCTGTTCTTTTGAGGAAGAGGCTCACAGCTCCAAATTGGATCAAGGTTTGTACAATTTCACACCTTGTTTAATATGCATGACCAAGTGTGCTTGGATGTGATTTGATATTCATTATTTTTTATTCTGGCAAACACACGTATTTTTTCAGCATAAGGAACCGAGAGAAGTTCATATGTTTGTTGATTTGTTTCTTCAAGAGGTATGGATTTTTACTTGGTCTTTAACGTCTTTTACACATTACAACGACTGATATTGGTAACTTAAGACGGCTGCTTATATTTGTTGGATTCTTCTTGTCCTTACTGCTTCCCTAAATCCTAAACCATAAATCCTAAACCCTAAACCATAAACACTAGACACTAAACCCTAACCATAAAACCTAAACCCTAAACCCTAAACCGTTTAAACCTTTGTCTATTACATGTCCTGTAACTCCTTCCTACCCAACAAGTATGTATCCAAGGAGCATAGCTGAATAGAGTCCATCGTTGTTTTATGACATGCTTAACATATTTGCACATTGGTACAAACTTTGGGTGACAATAGTTTTGCCCGGATCTGATAATTTGATTCATAAAAGTATTTATTAAAGGCTTGGATTATAGATATACACCAATATTAGATGAAAATCACATACCATTGTAAAAATCGAGTTATTTATAATGTTGCAGTTGGGAGCAGTAGGAACTGAAGTGAAACAGATTTTACCTCAAGGCCTTCCTCGTAAACATTCTCGCACTGAGAGCAATGGAAGTACAAGCTCTTCACGCAGCAATACGTTAAGAGATGATAAACTTGGGCGTTCAACCACCAACAGGGCACGTAGTCAGCTTCTAGAAACCCATCTAGCAAAGCTGTTTAAACAAAAAATGGAAATCTTCACAAAAGTCGAACATACACAGGTGTGATTCCATTCCATTCCATTCCATTCTGTTTATAAATAATATGTGAACCAAGAATGGGCTTTGTGTTGCAGGAATCTGTTGTGATGACTATCGTAAAACTCTGCCTGAAAAGTTTGCAAGAGTTTGTTAGGTTGCAGACATTTAACCGGAGTGGATTCCAGCAAATTCAGTTGGACATGCAGTACCTGAGACCTACGCTCAAAGACACTGCTGAAGATGAAGCTGCGGTTGGATTCCTGCTTGATGAGGTAAACAACAGATAAGTTGGGTATTTTTATGGGGGTTATGGGTTGTGTGAACTAGTAACAAGGTTATGGTTGGAAGTGCAGGTGATAGTTGCTGCTGCAGAACGTTGTCTCGATCCTAGTCCTCTGGAACCCGCAATCCTAGACAGACTTGTACATGCGAAATTGGCTAGGACCACAGACTAAGAACAAGTGGCTTCGTAAGTGCATAAATGGAAGTGAAAAAAGGTATCTCTGCATACGTGTTGTATTATTGTGTTACTTATAGATAGTTTCGTAACTTGACGAGAACTGGAATTGTTGTTTTGATATTAGAGATGGAAAATAAAATAAATCCGTTGATTTGGATTAACATTGTAGACGACTCATGCAAATTTTCGTGCAATGCGGCACGGTCGGACCGGACAAGAAATTCCACGGGATACGTGAGCTATACCCTTGGCTTATCGGCCGAACAGGTGCTCCAGAAAACATCATCCTAAAAACTCGTTTCCACAACGGATTGGCTTTTGTGCGTGTTAGGAAGAGCTCGTAGGAAGTTTGGTGGGAATCCGAGATTTGAGCGGCTTTCGACAATCTTTACGGCGTGTGTTGCATTACCATGAAACTTCCTACCTATGACGTGTTCCTCGTTCCAAACTTAGATTTAACTAATGAGCCTAAAACGAAGTCCTGTAGAAAAAGTTATGTACGTTTAAGCATGACACCCATTTTTGACCGATACACCAAGGGTATACCCTTGGGTTTTGCTCGTCCAGACCATTTTTGACCGATACACGAAGGGTATACCCTTGAATTTTTCTCGTCCAGACCATTTTTGACCGATACACCAAGGGTATACCCTTGGGTTTTTCTCGTCCAGACCAACTCTGTTGGATTGCCATGAAATTTTCCGTGGGCCATGTGCAATTTCAATGAGAAGTTCTTCACCAAAAATAACTTGAAAAACCCTGTTGTCGTAACGAAAATTGCCGGAGCCATGTATTGGCCAAATAGAATGAACACACATCGGGAAGTTTGTCTAAAAACGTACTCAAATCAGTTACATTACCAATGAAATTCCTACCCATTGCATGATCATCATTCCAAACTTCGATTTGATAGGTCATGCGCCTAAAACGGAGACGGAGTCTTGTAGTAAAAGTTATGCATTTTTAAGCGCGACACCTATTTTTGGTCGATACACCAAGGGTATATGCTTGGGTTTCTTGCCGAACCAACCATACCGGATTGCCATGAAAATTTCCATGGGCCATTACAATGTTAATAAGAAGTTTTTCAATAGAAAGAACTTGAAAAAACCCGACTTCATGTCAACAAATTGTCGGATCATGCATTGACCAAATCGAACAAACGCGCATCGTGAAGTTCGTCTAAACCCACTCAAATCATATTGTATTACCACAAAACTTTCTACCCATGGCGTGCTTCTTGTTCCAAGCTTTGATTTTATTGGTCATGAGACTAAAATAAAGTTCCATACAAAAAGTTATGCATGTTTAAACACAACTCCCATTTTTGGCCAAAACATCAAGGTTATCACCTTGAGTTTTTCTCCTTTGGACCGATTGTGCCGAATTACCATTAAAATTTCCGTGGGCCATCTATCATATTAATGAAAAGTTTTTCATAAAAAAGAACTTGAAAAAAAAACTATTCTCATGCCGGAAATTGCAGGAGCCACCCATATGCCAAATCGAACGAACACATATTGTGCAGTTCGTCTAAACCCACTCAAATCTTGTTGTATTTCCACGGAACTTCCTATCCATGGCACAATCCTCATTCAAAGCTTCAATTTTACTGGTCATGGGTCTAAAAATAAGTTCCATAACAAAGTTATGCACGTTTAATCACGACACTACTTTTGTGGGCCATTTGCAATATAAATGAGAAGTTTTTCACCATAAGGAACTTGAAAATAAAAGTTGTTCTCATGCCGGAAATTTTCGAAGCCAAATCAAACGAACGTGTATTGTGTAGTTCCTCTAAACACACTCAAATCTTGTTTAATTTCTATGAAGATTCCTACCCAGGGTGTGATCCTCGTTCCAATCTTCTATTTAACTGGTTATGGGCCTAAAATGGAGTTCCGTAGCAAAAGTTATGCACATTTAAGTGTGACACCCATTTTTGGCCAATACACAATCATATATATATATATATATATATATATATATATATATATATATATATATATAGGGGAGCGTTCAAATAAAAACCATTCAATTTGTAAAAACCGTGAAAACTTCATTCAACCAATCATAATTTTTCATTTTGTTCATTTTTTTGTAATTATGAGCGATTGATTAACCATTTTTATTGTGAAGGGTGTTAATCATGGATATTATCATCTTCATTATTTTAATTTTAGAGAAATACATGAAACAGTTTCATTAAATGTTATATGAAACAATTTCATAACCATATATGAAACAAATTTATCAAAAAAAGTATTATATGAAACAATTTCACA